CATTATATAGTCTTGTTGAGTGAGTAAGTAAGGTGTAATATAATTAACTTGTGTCTTGTAAGGATTAATAATGTGGAGGAAACTAATGGATTTGGTGAAAGTTGGCAAGAATAGTTTGTAAGGATTCATGAAATAAATAAATTGTTTACTCTTTTTTCTCTATAATATATGCTTATTTATTTTTTATAAGGTTTTAATTTACTTGACCCTAAGCTATTTATATTTTTCATATAAATATATATTATACTATATATTTCGAAAAACAATTATTTGAAATTAAAATCGGATCGAAAATCAAAAGTCGGTAATTTTTTAGTTAAAAAAAGGGTTAAATACAAAAACACTCATGTACTATGGACTTTGTATCATATACCCCCCTATACTACACATAAATACAAAAATCCCCCTAATGTTACATTTTTTTCAAAATATGACGAAAATACCCCTGCTAAAACATATATTTAAGGGTTTGTTTCAGCCATTTTCCACTTTACATTTTAACATTTTCGGTCGATTTTACTTGGCAAATTTTGTTATTTTTATTTTTTTCTACAAAACATCTAATAGCTTAGATTTTTTTTTTTTTTCTGAATAAAACCTTTTATTTTTGTCATTTCGAATTTCTTCATTTTTTTCTTAAATTTTTTGCCAAGTAAAATTCGCCGAAAATGTTAAAATATATAGTGGAAAATGGCTCAAACAAACCCTTATATTTATAGGCTGTAGCAGGGGTTATTTAGTCAGATTTTGGAAAAATGTAACAGTAGGGGGTTTTTGTATTTATGTGTAGTACATGGGGTATATGATACAAAGTCCATAGTACAGGGGTGTTTTTGTATTTAACCCTTAAAAAAATGAAACATTAAGGAATGTCACTGTAATTAGACATAACCTTAGGGTAGGATAATGTAATTTACTCAAAAAGATCGACAGACAAATGCGTTAAAGTGTTTAAAACATATTGATATATCATAATTGTTTTTACGCCCCAACAATTAGGAGAAATTTAGTTTTAGTACCTAAACTTAAAACATATTGTTTTATTTTCTCAATTTTGGAAGCAAACACTTTACACAAGGGTTCGCATTTCTTCATTGTTTTGCTCTGGCGGGAAGATTCGTTAGGGCTCAACAAACTCTGTGAAGCCGTCAAAATTTCTCCCCGGAGATATGTCAATCAGCGACGAATTTCAAGCTGGTGAGTGCAATTTTCCCCTAATTTTGATTTTGGTGTTTTTATGGATTTCGCTTATGCGGCATCGTTTTGAAACCCTAGCTCATCTCCAGTGATGCGATTCTACTTAATCACCCGTATTTTCTTCAATTGATGAATTTTATGTAGTTTAATAAACGCGAATTTTCAACCTTGATTCATACACTGGGGTTGTTTTCTGGTTAATTGGGGAAGAACGGTTTTTTTTTATTTCGTTTTCGGTTTTCGGTTTTCGGTTTTTTTGTTTTGTTTCTATCAAATTGTAAACTAAAGGAATGAACTTTTTCTACTCCTGTAATCAAGCTCAGTAAAATGATATGTTTTTGGTTGTACCAGAGAGAGTTGCTGAAAGTCTTTCTTTTCGTGTTTTTTTTTTTTTTTTGGAATAGATATTGAAGCGTTACCGAATATATTGCAGAGGAAGTATGCACTATTGCGCGATTTGGATAAAAGTTTACAAGGTAAATGTCTCTTATCTGGGTTGGTTGTCATAACTACAACCGTACATGTAATAATGTACTTGAGCCGTTTGCATCACCAGTCTGAATAACAACCCCCTTTTGTTTTATTTGGGTGGTACTTCGATATTTTCACTGTTGATTATTTGGGCTCTCTTTTTTTCTGAATTTTTTTTAGTATATTCAAAATGCTATGTAGGGTCGATTAATCTTTATACGGAACATTGATGATCGATAAATCGACATAGGAACCTCTTGCTTCAAGATCATTAGGATGTAATTAATTAGCTGATAATGCAATTGCTACTGCAACAGGAAATCTGTCAAACGGCAGATTCAGCACTAATTATTTTTTGTGTTTTACATTTTTTTTGTCATGATCTTAATTCTTAACACTTTTTCATTATTCCCCGCCTTTCTCGTTTTTCTTCATGTTGAGTTAACCTAGCAATTCATGACTTCCTATTTTCGGTGCTTAAATATTGCTTGAGTGGGCTATGTAGCTCTTAATAGTTTGATTTCCTGTCCATCTGAACTTACAAACGAACAAAGAAGATAATATATCCTGATTTTACTAAAACAAGATCGTATTTTATAGTTTCAATATTTATCATGCTTATTTTTTTTTTTTTGTTGAGCAGAAATCCAACGGCAAAATGAACAGCGTTGCGAGCAAGAAATAGATGATATGAAGCGTGGTATAAAGTCTGGTAGCATTACCCCTAATTCTTCTCTCCTCAAATTTTCTGATGATGCTCTAGACGAACAAAAACACGCCATCAGAATCGCTGACGAGAAAGTTGCATTGGCTGTTCAAGTTTATGATTTGGTAAAAAACAACGTCTCCTTAATTTATATTGTGACTGAATCTTGTTTCTTGTTCTTCGAATATAGTGTTCCATTGCACCCTCATCTTAATTTTTAGCTATATTTTATTCCTCTCGGATTTTATCACCTGAAGTTCCTGGTTATGTAGCAGATAGATCTTAAACATTGTTTTCTTTGGTAGAAGAATGGATACAGTCACACAGGAAATTAATTCTTCCTAATAATAGACACGAACTACTAAATAGACGCGGGTTGTATTTTGAAAGACTTGACGTTCTGACTTCTGATAGATGAGATGTGAAGCGCTTGTGTTGAATCCTGTTATGCGTAAGATTTATTTATTTATTTATTTATTGAAATAATGTTATGCATAAGGTTTAAGAGCCGGATAAGTCGATGCATGGGTGTCTAGATGGCATAAAAAGTTTAGCTTCGGTATCTGATCATAAGTTTTCTTACTTGCCTGTTCAGTCACTTTCGATTGAGTTAATGATTTTTTTTTTAATTTTTTTTTTTGGTGCAATAGGTAGACACTCATATTCAACAGCTTGATCAGTGTTTGAAGAAATTTGATGAAGATCTTCGACGCGGTATTGATTTAGTGATTCGTGTATCTCTTTTTATAATTTCATCTGCCTCACTGTACATATATATATCGCATGTAACTTTTCATGTAAAATTAGCAGAAAGAGAAGCAATTGCTACAGCAGGATCTCCTCCCGCTCCCGAAAACAGCAACGTGAAATCTGGAAAGTCCGGTGAAACTAGTAACCGAGGCCGTAAAAAGTAACTCCTTATTCTTGAACCATTTTTATCTTTTAATATCTGCAGTAATATTAAAGGTTGTCCAAATAAATTATTTTTTCGATAAAATAATATATTTTTTTGGTCAGGACACGTCTTGCAACAGCAACTGCCGCCGCATCTGCCTCAGCCTCTGCAAGTGCTGCCGCCACAGCAAATTCGAGCAGTATGGAATTAGATATACCTGTGGACCCCAACGAGCCTACGTATTGCTTCTGTAACCAAGTCAGTTATGGCGAAATGGTTGCATGCGATAATCCCGATGTACGTGAACAACCCGCTTTTTATTATTAATTTAATATATTTTATTTTCTTTATGTAATTTTTTTTTTTTGGTTTTTTTTGGGGCAGTGCAAGATAGAGTGGTTCCACTATGGCTGCGTTGGACTAAAAGAACAGCCGAAAGGAAAATGGTACTGCTCGGATTGTGTTGGAACTCAAAGGCGTAGAAAAACGAGATAACGAATTTCCAACTTTATTTTATAGGTTGCTAATATTTTTGACTTTTTTCATTCCGTTTTTTTTTTTTTCGTTCGGGATTTTCATCGAGAATCGGGGCTGCCCTATGTAAGTAATATGGAGAAGATCACTTCTCTGACCTAGAAAACTAGATGTACTAGAAGCAATTGTATTTGAATGTCTTTATTATTTCAATAAGTGTTCACAACTCTTTTGTCATCCCGATTTTCCCGAATTTTCGCAATCAAAAGTCGCCACTAGTTAGTGTGTAAAATTGTCTTTAAGATTGATTTTCCAGTTCTTACCACATTTTATTCAGAGAGGTTATGTTCTAGCAACAAATTTGGAAATTACGACACGAGATAATCCATTCGTCGATCGGTAAGAAAAACGAATTTTATTAATCAAACACGTGCACGTATTTGGTTCAACCAAAAGCAAGTTGTTAGATAACCATAGATAGACAATAATTACCCAAAACAACGGCAATTGTTCGAAACAATTACAGAGTCTAATAACCCTCTACACGAATCATTGTTTTTGCCCGAATTTTCTCATCAATCCTTCGTATTTAATACGATAAATTAGGTCCCGCAACTAAAAAACCCTCGTCAAAACGGCACAAAAAGGAAAAACCTAGATTTATTTGTTTTTTTTTTTGTTTTAAACAAATATATAGTCAGGGCATAGTTAAATCATCTTTCACAGCTTCTTAATAATCCATGTCACCCATGCCGCCCATGCCGCCGCCACCCATTGGTGGTCCCGCCTTATCGCTACTTGGCTGCTCCACCACAATCGCCTCGGTAGTCGTCATCAAAGAAGACACGCTGCAAATACACATATTACCGAAATAATCAGCGCATTTCAATTTGAAAACAAAAAATCGAACGAATAAAAATAAATAATTAAATAAATCAAGAATCGACAAGATTGTGCTTCTTTTACCTAGCAGCATCTACAAGGGCTGTTCTGATAACTTTCAACGGGTCGATAATTCCAGCTTTCACCATATCAACGTATTCACCTATTCACATACGATTAATTGTAATTAATTAATTTATTTATTTTCTACGTTTAATATAGTGGTCGATATAAAATATAATAATTACAAACCTTTAGCTGCATCATAACCAAGATCGGGATCTACCGATTCCAACAATTTCCCGACGACAACAGCACCTTCTACTCCAGCATTTGCTGCTATCGTATAAACGGGCATCTGCATTTGCAAAATTTTAAAATGTCATTAAAACATAATTGAGTAAATATTTAATTTAATATAAGAAAATCAAGAATGAAGTATCGAACCTTAAGTGCGTTTTGAATAATTTGAACACCGATCTTCTGATCGAAGTTTGCGGTCGCCAATTTATCTAATTCTTTTGCAGCATAGAGTAGAGCAACACCTCCACCTGTGCATTATTAGGAATCCGTTAGCATCCCGTTTATTTTTTTATTTTTATTTTGTTTTTTTTATTTTAAGATCCAAAGAAAAACACATACCGGGTACAATTCCTTCTTCGACTGCAGCTTTCGTTGCATTTAAAGCATCTGTTACTCTGTCTTTCTTCTCACCAACTTCTGCTTCACTAGCTCCTCCAATCTAAAAAATAATTAATAAATAAATAAATAAAACAATTTGCTATAAAGCACCGAACGGGAGTTCGAGGAAAAAAAACGAACCTTTAGCACAGCGACACCACCAGAAAGTTTAGCAAGCCTTTCTTGCAACTTCTCCTTGTCGTAATCCGAAGTGCTCAACTCAATTGTTGACCTAATCTGTAATATAAAAATCAGCCTTGTAAATAAAAGTCGAGAGTAAGAAACTAAATTATAGTTACAAAAAAATCTATAATCGGTTTATTTATAATAAGTAAAGCAACATAGACCTGTTCACATCTTTCTTCAATCGATTTCTTCTCACCAGCTCCATCAAGTACAACGGTATCATCCTTCGATATAGTGACCTAAAATAAAGAATAAAATGTAAAGGGTGAATTTTTTTTACGGTGCAATAAATAAATAATATAATAATATCGTTAGATAAAGTTACCTTCTTGCACGAGCCGAGCATATCAAGCTCCACGTCATCTAGGTTCATTCCCAGCTCCTCAGTTATGACCTGTCAACAATAATATTACAAAAACGAAACACGCAAAATTTTAAAAATAAATTACAAACACTAATCTTGATATAGGGGAAAAAAACTTCCGAATAAATAGACAATCTATTTAAGTATTACATATATATCAAAAAAAATCTTTTTAAGATGACCTCGTTGGGTGCAATTTGCAAAATATAAAAAAATGTGAAAGAATATATTCTTAAAAAATCGACAAATTCAATTACCTGGCCTCCAGTTAAAACAGCAAGATCCTGCATGTTCGATTTCCTGTTTTCACCAAATCCTGGAGCTTTTACAGCACAAACCTGCAAATATAAAATTTGAAGTGTCAATAGCAAATTCAATCGACAAAAAAGCACTTATATGAGTGTATATATATACATAAAGAAAGGCAAGTTTATTTATTACCTTAATGCCAGCTCTAAGCTTGTTCAGAATAAGAGTTGCAAGTGCATCGCTCTCAACGTCTTCAGCAATTATCAGAAGAGGCCTTTGTCTCTGCATAAACACGACTAACATTTAATCACCGCTGCAAATTACAAAAACAGCCTCCTCGATTCATTTCTAAAAAAACTAGTTTTGAGTTGAAAGTGTGTTTTTACCTTCAAAGCCAGTTCAAGAACTTTCACAATTGAAGCAATGCTGGAAATTTTCTTCTCGTAAATCAGAATTAGAGGGTCGTCCAATTCCTATTGAAGGTTGAAATTTTCAGCTAAAAGATCACAATACGAAAAACGAATTTCAAGAATACGAATATTTATCAAATTGTAGACTTACGCATTTTTGGTTCTTTTGGTTTGTGATGAAGTACGGGGAGATATAACCTCTGTCTAGCTTCATCCCTTCGACGACTTCCAATTCATTGAACAAAGTCTTCCCATCCTACAAAAATGTAATAATAATAATAAATTAGGAACTTTATGTAGCTTAGTTATATTAAGTTAAAGACTGATATTTTCATGGTTTATTCGTTTAGTTCCTAACATAAGATTAATCAAAGATAGACTAAATAATCTAATGAAAACGAAGGGCCACGATAAAATAATATTTTAGACCCAGATATTGTTGGGTTTACCTAAGAACAAACAAAGTCCATTTTTTTAATTAATCATGTCTAGTATCCCCAACCAAACAAGTGTATACGAAGGAGTTAGTAAGACAAAGAAAACACGTCAAAATTATCCAAACCCCAACACCTAACCAAGAATAAGTGCTAGAACAAAAAAAAAAACACCATATGAACATGTTCATAAATTACGAATTTGGAAAGCAAATGTAATACATACTTGAATTGTGATGACACCCTCTTTGCCGACTTTTTCCATAGCCTTCGCAATCAGCTCGCCGATTTCTCTATCTCCGTTTGCAGAAATTGTTCCAACCTAAAAAATTGCATAATCAACATTAAAACACGGCAAATACCGTAATTTACAGAATCATAGTAAATAATTGATCTTTCTAACTCGAAACTATCACTGTAACAAACCTGAGCAATCTCCTCGGACGTGCTTATCATTCTTGCTCTGCTTTTCAAGTTTGTAACCACAGCATCGACAGCCATTGTAATACCACGTCTTAGATCCATGGCGTTCATGCCAGCTGCCACTGATTTGCAGCCCTCGGCGAATATTGCACGAGTGAGGACAGTAGCACATGTTGTACCTGAAAGTACAGTACAGACAAACACATTTATAATTTAAGGTATACAAATCATCACCGACAAGAATGTTAATCAGTCGATAAACTTCACTAAAACTTTGTTAACCAGTCGATAAACTTCATTAAAACTTACCGTCACCGGCAGCATCGTTTGTAGCATTCGCCACCTGCTTTACGAGGCTTGCACCGATGTTCTTGACTTTGTCCTTAAATTCGATGCTTTTTGCAACCGTCACGCCGTCCTTTGTCACTTTCGGGGCGCCCCAACTTTGTTCAATCACTACATTCCGCCCCTACCGAAATATAAAACGAAACCACCTTTTAAAAAATGAAACTACATTACGAAAGCAAGTATCGATTACCACATCGCATCGATTATCAATAGAATGAAAAAATCTATTACATTTCTCGGCGTCGAATCGACGAACAAGTTCAAATTTTGAAAGCAAGATTCGATCATCAATAGAACACATCACACAAATAAAAAAAATTAAACCAACAAACAAGAGAATCATATAACAAACTTCGAATCAAACTACCAACAAACACACTCAAGAAATTCATTAGGCATCAACTGCACATCCCCCACACAAAAAAATAAAATTAAATTAAATAAAAGGGTACAAATCAGCAATCGAATATTCGAACAAGATTAAAAAAAATAAAAGAAAGAATATTGAAAAATAGAATACCTTAGGGCCCATAGTAACTTTAACAGCATCAGCAAGTTCTTCAACACCCTTAAGCATCAAAGCTCTAGCCTCAACTCCAAATCTAATATCTTTAGCTGCATAATTTCTCAACCCACCTAATCTACCACCAATCTACAACAAAACCCACAAAAAAAAACCATCATTTACACTTGTAAATCAAAATAAAAATTCAATCTTTATCATCTTTTTTTTTGTTTAAATAAATAAAGTACCTGCTGGCTGCTGTTTCTTGCAACCCTGCACAAATCAAACAAAATGCAAAATAGGGTTTTTTTTATTAGATCACCAAATGAACAAAGCACTAGATTCCAAAAGGGTTTTCTTGATTTTATTTTATATTTTTTAAAATTTTACCTGGCTTTGGAGGCAAGATTTGCTGCAAAACGGTACATGCTTCAGTCTTTTAGAGAGAGAAACTTGTGTGAGAGAGAGAGATTGTTTGGCAGAGATGAAATGGAGTGTGTGTGTATATAAAAAGAGAGAGAAGAGAAGAGAAGAGTCTAGAAGGAGATTAGGGTTTTAGGGTTTTATATGTAACGGCGCGTTTGGGTTTTAAGATGTTCAGTTCAGTATAAAGGTTTTCTTTCCCTTCAAGATAATATAAAGAACGTGATGAATTGTGTGCTCATCTTCAATCCAGCTCAAAATTGGAGGATATAAATATATTTTTTTAAAGATTTTAAGGAAATTTTGTGTAATTAAATTTGTACTTAAAAAATGTTATAAAAAAAAAAAAAAAAATTAGTAATGCAATATTATTATCCTTTTTGAAATTCAAAATTTGCTAGGTCCTTAATGAGGGTATGTTTGGCCAAGCTTAATTTAAATAGCTTATAAGATCTTCTGTGTGATAAGCTGTTTTAAGGCTGATAAACTGTTACCTCTTATTTTTTTGAATTAATTATAAAATTTTGTATAAAAATGTGGGATAGAGATACTTTTTAAAATACTTATTTGATGTCTAAAATTTATTTTGAAAAACTTTTAAGATTTTTTTTTTAAATTTACCAAACACTTTGAAAGAGTTTATAAGCTCTTTTTAACAGCTTATGAGCTTAGCCAAACGCCCTCTAATTACTCACCTAACTTAAATGCATATCAACATTTACCACCAAAACTTAACCTAAGTAATGTTGTGGATTTTTTTTTTCATTATTAAAAAAGAAAACTCGAAGGTTTTTGGTGGGGGTAAAATTAGAGAACGAAATAATATTTGGGCCAAATTATAATACTTAAATCTTTGGTGGGGCCAAAGTCCAAAAGCTAGTAGATAAATGGGCCAAAGCCGGAAAGTAGTAGGTAAATAACAAAATAAGAAAAAAATAATAATAAAAATCAATTTATAAGATAATATATTTAGGGGAATTCATATTAGCACATAATGGGATTTTGCTCCCCGAACTTTGACACGTTTTGCACTTTGCCCCTAAACTACAAAAAGTTGCACGGTGCCCCCGACTCACATATTTGCAGCACCGTTCACGAAATTTGCTATTTTTGGCCAAATTTTCGCGGCAATGTTGCACATGCCAATCCCACGTGTTTGAGGAGGGGTAAGATTGCCAAATCACTCAGTTTCATTGGGAAAACAATTTGGGCGTGCCGAGTATGTGTTTTTCGATGTGTCGACGATGAAAATGGGTTTGGCTTCGGATTAAAAAACGTCATCCGTAAAAGCGACGAAGATGCAATCAAAAATCACGGTATTCACATACCCTTTGAATTCGAACTGGGCAGTCAGAATAGGCGGCACCACCAAGAAGAAGAAGAAGAAATAAATAGGAGAAGACTACACAAAGCCATAACTCGAAACCCATGTCAGAGAAAAAGAAAAAGTTTTTCGAGATGGAATTAGCATGGTGGTTTGGCTCAACAATTTCTTCTTTTTTCAATATTTTAGATGGAATTAGTGAAATGAGGAGGGACAAATTGAATTTGATTACGCGGACCGCGGTTATGGTGGTGGTGCGGCGACGGAGCAGAGGTGGTGGTGTCTAATTTTTGAGTGTTGAAAGCGTAGAAGATGATGGACATGTTTTTTCTTTTTCTTTTTTATTTTCCTTTTTTCCTTTTTCTTTTTTTTTTTTTACAAAAAATGTGCGATTTGGTTAAATTACCCCTCCATTTTAACGTGTGAGTTGCGCATGTGTGATTCCGGCAAGAATTGGGCCAAATTCGACCGACTGCTCCGAATATGTGATTCCAGGGTGCACCGTGCAACTTTTTGTAGTCTAGGGGGGAAAGCATAACGTATATATTTTTAATTGTGTATAAAACACAATTACAAAATTATAAAAGAAAATGCACACAAGCGACTTTCGTTTCACTAAAATCGCATTATTATAGGATATCAAAAAGCGCGTATCCGAAACAACCGCTTTTAGTAGAAATCGCAGGAAAATTGGACAAACCAATCACAGTAGAAGAAAATAGGCTTCAACACTTTCTCCTGCCCTTTTTGCAGTCTCATCAATTCCCAAATTTACAGTGCGCAAAAATTATTCAAAAATCAAAAAATTGAAAACCTAGGAAGAAGAAGAAGATGACGGAGGCGGTGATTAGGAACAAGGCGGGTATGGCGAGCGTGAAGGATATGCCGGTTCTTCAGGACGGTCCGCCGCCGGGTGGTTTCGCGCCGGTCCGATTTGCGCGGCGGATCCCTAATAAGGGACCCAGTGCAATCGCCATTTTCCTCGCCACTTTCGGCGCCTTCTCTTGGGGTATGTACCAGGTCGGCCAAGGCAACAAGATCCGTAGGTACACACACACACATGTGTTTCTGTGTTTTTTTTTTTTTTTATTTTTGTGTTTTTTTAATCGAGGTGCGTTTCTATAGTGAAGAGGAAAAAATGTGGATTTTTTTTTTATAATTATTATTGTATATTTTCACCTTCATCTACGAAATTGGTTAATCGATAAATAGAAGTGAAGGTTTGATTTACTATATATACCCTTTTTTGTACTTATGAGGATTTTAATGCTCAACAATTGTTTGTGTTGATTGTGGATTTAAGTACAATACACTGTTTGGAATTAGAGTCATGTGTGCATGAATGGAAATTGTATGTATGTATGTATGATGATTTGGTACAGTTTTCTGTTTGTTTTTTATGGCGGTCTGATTTAGTGGGATAGCATAAAATTTACGAGAAGAGTTGAGGGATTCGGTTTGAGGTGTTCTTGCAACGTTTGTTATTACAGAAAATCATGTCTTGATTTTATAAAGGATGTTGTGCTATCATTCTTGATCGTAATTTTTAGATGATGTTGTGCTTTCAGTCCGAGTGATGTTCTTGGCCGCAATATATCTTGTATATTACGTTACTGTTATTATATTGTCGACAGGGTTAGCTTAGATGTGTGAATATCTTGAGCTGTAACCATCTTTTTCCCTGAAAAATCACATTCCACACACACAGAAATATATTTTTGTTAAATTAAACAAGTGGTGCATGAATTTGCTGAAAATGAAATTGGACAGTGAACCTCCGTTTCTTACAAGCTTTATACTGAATGTAGCTAAACAGATGCAGTAAGAAGTCTCCAATTTGTTTTTTCATAGTCATATGAAGTTGAGAAAACTTTGATATCGGTTTATATAGTGATGAAGGTGATTCATATTTCATAAGAGACATTAGCCATCCCAAAATTAAGGAAATCGAGAGTTATTCTTTTGTTGTTCTATGGTAGAATGTTATACAGTCTCATTATCTGTCCCTTTAATTTGGACTTATATATATATAAATATATATATATATATATATATATATATATATATATATGATTTTTTGTTGAACACTGGCATAGAAAATTAATCGGAAATTTCTATTTCGTAGGGTATTGAAGGAAGAGAAATATGCTGCTCGGAGGGCCATACTGCCTATGCTTCAAGCCGAAGAGGACGAAAGGTGACTTTCATACTATTTCGAATTTTTTTGGCATGTACTATTCTGATTTTTGTTCTTCCATTTTCTTCAGATTTGTCAAAGAATGGAAGAATATCTCGAGGAAGAGGCAAGAATCATGAAAGATGTGCCAGGCTGGAAAGTCGGTGAAAGCGTCTACCACTCGGGCAAATGGATGCCTCCAGCCACTGGGGAGCTCCGTCCTGATGTCTGGTAACTTCATGTTACTCCTATCACTTTGGCCCGTTGAATCGAAGAAACTTTATTTTTTTTCCATAATTTCCCGAAAGATTCACAATTTCCCTTTCGATTGCTTCCTTTAGCTAAATAAAGATGATGTTGAAAAATCTGTGTACTTTGTCTTTCATAACAATCTGGTAGCTGTTGTTATATGGTGCGTTTTGCTACTGGTATATTGTCCGTTTTAAGGGCTTTCGTTTCCATCTTCTGTTGCAGTTTACTGGAAATTGTTTCTCATTTCGGATTAATTTGATTTACATTTATAATCTTTATTTCGTTTCACTTTCTGACACCTAAATCAAAAGAAGGATCGAACTTGATTTCCCATTTGTATCATTGATTAGAAGCTTAGGTAAGGATTGACGGTTTCACACATCGTCCATGTCCTAGTATTAGATGAAGTACCGTACGACAGTTTGAGTGATCTTATGTTATGCATAATTCTATGAATAATTCAACGGTCAAAAAACGGATTTCATCCCGAAATTCATTCCTTAGAACGGCGACGATGCTGGAAAAAAAGAAATTCAAAACGAAAAACTAGAAAAAATACGACCAACTAAGTCACGGCCAAAGATGCCTCTTCTCGTAATTTTTATTATCGCAGCTGAAATAAATACCGTCCTCCCTAACCGACCAGAAACACGTCGAAGTTTCTTCACACGTAGAGCTTATGTTGTCGGTATCGAAACTAGTGAACCTCTGTCCCAATTCTCCCCACTGCACGTTGCAGTAAAACAGAGTTGACCTAAAGAAATTAACCCTAAACTGCCAATGCCAATCTTCGCCTTTATCCAAGAAATGCTCTCCGAGGTCATCGTCTGCAGATCTGCAGTTAACGATTAATTCGTCTGTGTTGTTTTCGAAGTTATTGATTATATGAACTTCGTAGCGTTGGAAAATCCCGAGGCCCGATGCTTTTGCTGATTTGTTGAGTATGAGAAATGTGGCTATGAATAAAATATAGATAGAAAGATTCATTGCTGTGAAAATTGGATGTGTATAATTAATCTGTACATCCTATTCAGACTATATTTATAGGCAGAGAGACTACTCATTGATGTGAAATTTTTATTAATTAATTAATTTATTTATTTTAGGTAAAAGATTGTTTATTTCTAGTTTTGGTTTGCCATCAGTTTCAATCCAGGTATAAATAAGTTGATATTGGTCTGATAATAATAATAAAAGCAGGCGATTCTTCTTGATATAAAACCTTACAGTTTTTTTTTTTTTTTACATTTTTGTACTTTATATACTTTAAACATTGCACTTATGTCCTTAAGTATAGTAGAGAATCGGGGTGGAAAAGGGAATGGAATTCCCAAATTCGGCTGCTTTAGATCGAAAATTTCCAATTTCGAAACAATAGGTTTTGTTTTTTAAAATTCCGAAACAACAGCTTTTCCGGAATTTTTCGAATTGGAATTGGAATTGGAATAAATATGATATTCTGATTCCAGATTCGGTTGATTTTTTTTTTTTTCTGAGTATTTTTCCAAAAAAATACATTTGTAGTACTAATGTTATAATGTATTACAGAATACGTGAATTAAAAAAAAATAAAAAATCCAAATTTCGCAGATTCCAAATCAAAAAAATCGGTTTGAAATGAAAATTTTCATAAGAATTTCAATTTTCCAAATTTTCCGTCTTTTTGTTAACGGAATTGGAATCAGTTTATCACTTTTGAAAAAACTGATTATTTTTTAGAAAGTGCTAATGTTTACCCGATCCGTCTGTAATGAGACACGAATAAATTAGGACGAGAGTAAAATATTCGATAACAGGGTCGGATCGAAGTATTTATCGAACCAACCAAATATTTATTATTGAAACTGCAATAAAAAGATATTTCAATCACCAATCGTACTGCTTAAACCACGTGAAGTTATCCGTGCTGAAGTAAAAACCTCCTTCCGCGACTAACCAATAACACTTGCCAAACTCGGCACATTTCGACCCCTCGACTTGGGCATCAAAAGCGTCGAAGTGCTTCGCGTGTTCACCTTGTTTAACGTCACAAATGAAAAGGGTAGTTCCGTCAAATCTAACCTTGAAGTGCCAAGTAATTTCTTGGTCAACGTTAAGGGAATGTTGACCAATATCATCTTGCTTTGACCAACAATGGACCATCAATGGCTTTGTATTTTTCTTGAATCCATTGATTACATGGACATGGTACTCCAACCCAAATTGCCAATTCTTTGATGCTTCTTCTTCAGCCTCACGTGCACTGCACGTGGAGAGCACAAAACAAGCTACGATGGCGATGGATAATAAGCAGTTTCTTGAGATGTAATTCTTCATTTTATAGTGAAATTTTGAGATGGTTTTGTTTGTGCTTAATTTGCTTTTGGAGGAGAACAATGTGCTCTATGATATATTATAAGTTTGTGACATTAAACCCTTGCAAAATAATTTTGGATTTTTATACTTATGTATGACAATTTAACAATTAATTGTAATCTACTTGGTAGATTTTGTCATAATATTAAATTGTAACAATAGTGGGTAGGTACTATTGAGGTTACATTTAACGTGTAGGGTAGCCATAGGCAGTGGATATGACTAGATCCGACACAATAGCAGATAAAGACGAAAAGTCTGCCACATGATACGGATTGAGGGAAGATGCATCCAAGGCTCAAATTGAGATAATCATACCCGCCGGCCCTCCCCATTGAACTGGTTCAGTACGCAAGAAGTGAGGTTGCTCGCCACCAGTAGACAAAAACAATCCGAAGTAATCACATCGCTCTTATGTGTGATCTGACCATACCATAGTCAGAGCATGGAGCCCATCGCCCATCGCTATGATATGTATAAATACAGACTTGAAGTATAAGAAAAAAAGACTATCTCTGATATTCATGGCACACACTTATTTTCATTAGACACATATATTGTTTCTACACAATTTCGACTGACTTGACCGTCATAGTTTTAAAGTCGGGAAACTCTTCCCCGACATATTACCTTAACTCCTAAGTTTGCAAAATAGCTAAAATATTAAAGAAGGCACCTACCTTTAAAAAAGAAGATAAATTTCAAGAAAGATATAGTAGTGTGTGGATGCTTAAAAGAACATGACACTTGTCACACTTTGGTACCCCATCAATCTGCCAACATTGCAATTGTCACCACCACATAATACATACATTAATTATATAATAAAATACTTGTCCCTGTGATGATGTTTTTCAAGACAATAATTATCCACTAAAATGTAATAATAATTCCAAAAAAGACACACATGGGTGTTTCTTGAAAAATGAATAATCAAACACACCACACAGAATACCATCACATAACTAAACCTCCTTTCAACAGTTCATACAAAAGTCAAGAATTCACCTCCTAATTTACACAAAACAGAAAAATCACACACACTAGAAAGTGAAAACACACACACAAAGTAGTCTTCTTCATGAGTTGATTCACAAAAACCAACATAACCCCCTCAAAAAATTATCACACCTACTAAAAAGTGTAAACACACACACACACAGTAATCTTCTTGGCAAGAAGGATGATGGTGGTGGAGAGAGAAAAGGGCCAGTTCTTGATTCACCACCCTTCACAACAGAGGGAAAAAAGAAAACCAAAAAAAAAACTCAACACCTACTAGAAAGTGGAAAAACACACACACACATAGTAGTCTTCTTGGCAAGGAAAGGATGATAATGGTGGTGGAGAGAGAGAAAACCCAACTCACCAAAAAGCTCACACCTACTATAAAGTGTAAAAAAACACACACACACACCTAGAGAGAGAGAGAGAGAGAAGAGAGAGTCTTGTTTATGGTGATTAGAGAGAAGGGCCGGTGCCATCTGGTTTATCAGGATCAGGGACGCTGGTATAGCAGTAGAGATGGTTCGAAAGCACCCATCCCCAGTCAGCTCTTCTCTGTACGGACATTTGAGGCCACCTGTTTATCCTTACATAGTGCTCTCTCATCTTTCCACCGAAGTACAACCCTGTCACCACCGTGTACGATGATTCATGGCCCCCCCACACCTTGTCTTCCGGGTCGGCCGTTATGCTTCCGTCCGCCTGGAAGTATCTGCGCATGGTGGCCCCCGTTCCGTTCCATCGTGGGTCCAGGTTTCGCCAGTACTCCGGTGCATCCTGATGAAGAAAGAAACATCATGTAAGAAAATTCCACTCACTCACTTTTATACTGGCTTCTTTTTTTTTTTTTGCCTTGTAGAATTAAATGAATGAGAGTGATTTTGGTTGGTTGGATCATTGAGCAGAGAAATTCAAGAACAAATCCATAATAACAAATCCAATAGACGTTGTTTGGATTGGGTCATTTGACAAGAAATTTCAAATTCGTAGCTCTCGTTTTTAGTTGTTTTTTGAGCAATTGCGAGGGATTTCGAATATCTACTCATTTTGAGTCGTTTCAAACGCTCCCTATATAGGCGCATTTCAATCCATTCATTTCAAATCCCTCAATCCAAACGCAGACTAAAGGGATTGTGAATAGAAGGAATCTAAAAGCTAATTCATGATTTTGAAAATAAGGGGCAACTGCTATATATGGAGCTGTAAACACAGGAGTGCTGAGAGTGTAACAGAGAATTTAGAACCGGTTAGATTTCTTGAACTATAAGAACCAGGGGTGGAAATTGGACGGACCGGATCGGAATTAGCACTTTTATGGAAACATCCCAATTTTTTTTCGGAAGTGAAAAGCTAATTCCAGTTCCATTCCGATAAATTTCTAAAGCATCCGAAATCAACGTGAAAAAATTGTTCCAAAATCACAACTTTCAGGATTCCGTTCCAATTTCCACCGCTGATAAGAACTCAACAGTTCAGTTTCTAATTAATGCTTAAGACATAGATCTTATATATATCTTTAGAATCTACTAAGATGCAGTACAAATTGCGAAAGGACACAGCAGCTAGAGAATCAGAGATTTATGTGGCTGCTGGTATTAGCTGTTGAAGATTTTCAAGATAGTTAGTGTTCTTGTATTTAGTTAAAACCAAAAAGAATGAATGGTGACTCATGATTCAGCGATCCAGTTTCTGTTAGAGAAAAGGAGACACAACGCGTATTTACGAGTGGATGAATACATACCTCAGTAAAATGAAATTCCCATACATGGTCGCACAGATCATCTCGAGTTATTCGAGCCTGCCAATTAATTGTATCTCAGTGAGACTTTGTAAGCATATTTCTCATCTCTCTCACGAAGTGTGTTCAAGAGAGAGAGAGAGAGAGATAGAGAGAGAGAGAGAGAGAGAGAGAGGCTCACACGTTTGCTATCCATCATTGATAGAGAAAAAACAGCCATCTTTGTAAGTCCTGGAACTTTTGCAATGCGTGGTATGTGCGCCTTCCCCTGCCATAACTCCTCACACTGCAAATAAGGGAACCACTATAAGCACAATACTCTAAAAATATACGTATATATAACAACGGCAGCAAAAGGGAACGCTTCGATACATAAATTCTTAATGGGAGGTTTTACGCAGACCGACAACAACAATTAGAGCACTAAAATTGTTGAGGTTGGAGAACCTTCAACACGTTTGGCAGATTTGTCAAGAAAACGTTTTTAATCAAACTCAACTTGGATTTCAAGTTACGGTTGTATGTTAGAACCTAAAAGATGCAAAGGGTTCTCTAAATCCCCATAGTCAGAATGGCGTCGAACATATTAGGCTCAGAAATAATACCACTTTGGTTCCCGTTACTATAGATTTTCATTAGGTATAACATAGGCCATAGATAGCCGAGAATTGTTGTAGCTTTTCTACAATCATCAAGAACAAATCTTGAGTACATGCTAGCGAATATTATAGTACTATTTCCTCTGGTTATGCTACAGAACTTGTTAACATTGCTATCTCTGCTATATCCAGTTCAATTAGTTTGTTATGTATCCTAGTATTTACCTCTGTATGATTTCATAAGAAAACTTTTGCATACTCCAATTAATGTGATTTTCCTGCAATCTAAATTTAAACATAAACACTTCTATTGAAGCAAAATGGTAAAAACAAAAAACCTCAAGTACTTCTAATTCTCGTTCTTTAATCTTTAATTTTTCAAGTCCATTAACTCGCAATATGCTTTCTGATAATAGGATCGCATCATTTGTAAGCAAAAACAATATGAAAAACTCTTCTAATTCTCTCGATTATATCAGTTTCATGCTAGTTGCATAACTACAGTCTCAAGACACCATAGATTTTCTGTCATTAAGCTTTGCCGCTATCTTGAGCCCAAAAAATTCACAAATCCTTGATCTTTTACTTCCTAATTTTGCCCTGTCTATTTTCAGAAGCCTTCCACATGAAGTTCGGACGGGGTTGATTTACCTTAATAAAGTATTTCTATTGATCATTACTCTAAGAAAGTCTGGACTTCAACTAAGAAGCAAGCAAGAAAGAAGATTAAACATTTTTGTATCGGTAATGGACTGAATTTAGTAGCGTAGCATAAGCTGAATCAAATGTTACACGCTAATTTTGAACTACGTATTCACACACACACACACACACCCCTATATGTATATATGAGTCAGTGTGTGTACACATCTACGGTAATAGATGATCCGGTGAAATTCACCAAAGTGCACAAGCCAGATTTCACCCAAGCGACCTTTTTACAAAATTCATTTGAATGGGACTTAAGTTGAATGCTTTTGTGACATGCATTAATATCTCTATTCCAACTTATTTGAGACGAAATGTTGCAGCTTATCTAGGCTTTTGTAATATGTATAAATACTATATTGTTAAATTAGATATTCTTTATATCTTGTAAGTGTTCATTGTAATAATTTCCAATACGGAAATGTTCGGTTAATACACAACATTACATTACAAAAGAACGTACTCCAAAATTTATAAAAGGGGGGGAAAAGAGGTTAAAATCATGAACGTAAGATGCCTGATGGGATGATGAAAATGAAGATTATTATTATTTACACCTCACTTGAGACAAGGTTATAATTTCATGCCAATAACCAATTTCCTTTTATTGCTAGACAACTTTAATGAATCTGAATGAACCAAGAAAATAAAAAGTCGTCAAAACCTCAAAATTTATATGCAAGTCCGACGTCATTGAACCACAATGAATTTTGCACAAAAGCATATGTATCTCCAGTACTTGAAGTACATTTTAGTCGAAATCCATTTTCGCCACTTACTATAACAAAGATATTCGAGAACTGATAATAAATCCACCTCAGAGAATGCACTCATAACCAGAACTCGAGAATATTGTTGAACTGATCATAATATTGTTTCATTTTCCAGCAGGTAGTTAACCAAAACTCAAGTAATCCCTCCCTTGCTCACAAGGGTGACTAATAGTTTCGATCCAGCTTACTGATCTACGGTAGATTGTAACCTCATACTCATAATACTTCCAATCTCTATTCAATTGGCTGCCTATTTCAAATTCTTTGAATTCAAATTTAATGCCAAATTCACATTGATAGCCCATACAAAAATAAACTTCGACATTGATTTAGCTCTAATTCAACCGATGTTGAATTTTTCATCATGCACTTCCCGTAGAGAGAGTCATTCTTTCACTGGTAAGTGACGGAATATATCCAACATCGATCTGTCATAAACTCATTAGTGAAAATACGAACAACCTATTCCTACTTGCTCTGTTTGTTCTTAATCCTATAGATGTAAACAAGACCAATCGTTCTAAGAAAATTAATATTATATGTGTGTGTGTGTGGATATATGAAGCAACAATTAAACATACATATGCACAGCGATGTTAGAAACTACTCTATCTTAATTTCATTTTGGCAGGAAAAAGAAAAAAAGGAGGGAATGATGCACAAAAACACGCAACGGACTAAATTTCTGGAAAATGGAAGGCACATTAAATTCAAATGACGAATTAGAAAACAAAAGTCGGTTCTATTAGGTACATCCACCAGTATGTCTACACCACGCAACACGCATGCGCAAGGACTTGACATATACGTAATTAGATTAACTGTTTTGCAGTAATCATCAAATTCAAAATTGAACTTACCTTGAAAACTTAGAGAACTTTTTAACTGCAAATTTCCGTTTTTCTCGTGTCCAGAGCGCATGAAAAATAAGCACTGCCTCTGCTTTAAATTAAGTGAAGAAGTCTCGAACATTAGAACCAGCTTCTTGTTGTTCTCCATTGATTGGACTGACAGAAGCAGAACGAATGTTTTTGGATTGGACCACCATATAAAGATGCCAATCTCTCAAAATATGAATAATATCCTGTAAGAGGTACACAATAGGAATCGGTGATTTCAAAATAATAAATTTGTATTAATAAAAATAGATAATTCATCTTCACAAGGAACACCACACAGAGAGAGAGAGATACAGGGAGAGACAGAAACAGAGAGATCTATAGAGAGCGACAGAGAGGGAGATAGAGACCTAGAGAGAGAGAGAGAGAGAGAGATCTGTCATTTGAGGACGGAAAATATTCAGACATACACGCCTTCTTGAATTCAACTTTGTTCTCATTCTGTGCGTGAACTGACTAATAGAACAATCACAGACGGTTACAAAGAATCCTTATAAGGAAGCCACTGAGATTTCCAATCTTGCACTACGATTGCAAAATTACAAAATTAAGCCTATACAATCAAAACAATGTAGGCTTCCCATTTTTCCTACACAATGTTTTTTCAACTTAGTTTTGGACACACTGTTGTTAACTCTAGAGTTCAGCTGTAGATTGCACAAAACTGATAACATAATGCAGTGTGCTTTTCAGTTGGATAACTTTAACCTTAATCTTTTATTTCTCTCTTTCACCTAACAAAATTGCTTTTATTTTTCTGTGATGCACATGAAAATAATACCATCTTGTAATTATTTACATTTGCAAGTCATAGTTATCGGCAAATTATTATCACAAGCTTCGTTCTCGATATTTAGCTACTTACACATTTCTGCTTTACCATTCGAGTCTACCGTACAAACGGTCAGCCATGATTCGTTTGTCATGCCTACGACCTACGAACAAGACTTTGACGAAGTATGCTACAATTAGCAACTATTTTATATTTGTAGTAATTTCATGAAAAATGGTTGAGCAATATAAACATTTAACCAGTACACCTTCTAAAGTTAATTTAACAGATACTTGGATTAACATTTTCGTTTCCCCGGTTCTCTTAAGGTTCGGCATTAAACAAATAGACACAATTCACTCAGCAAACCGGAGATAAGAACAAATCGGGCATCGTTTATTCCATGCAATCGTATATCATATGTGGTCAAATGTATCATAATTGTAAGCATATGCAGAATGAAAAACAACCCCAATAGATACCAGAATCAAGAAGAACTGTTTTTATTTTATTTATTTATTTATTTATTTTTTTAAATTGGAAAAATGTAAATAATAAATATCAAGCGCAAGCACAACAAGAGCACAAAACCTCCCAGACCTTTTAACACTGAAGAATGAGGACAAGAACCATACAGCTGTACTCAACCGCCACACAACAATTAAAATAAACATTTAATTAAAATTAAAAATTAAAAAATTAAAATTAAAACCTTGGGCGCCCAAATTTCGTCGACGGAGGCAACGGCAAGCCAGCCACGAGAAACCAAGCGAGCGAGTGCCACGCTGCGCGCGTCGAGTCGACTCAGTATCACCAACATGATTCCCGAACCGAACACCGCCAGCGGATCCTGCGACCCCTCCTCTACCGCCACCTCGAAGTCATCGTCGCCGCCGCTCCCCGCCGCGCCGTCGTCGGCCATCCGCTCCTTCCACCATGGGCGGGAAGAGGAAATCGACGGACCGTCTCCAGACTTCGCCCTTTTCGTGGCCGATTCTCCCGATTCCGGAGCTCCGGCGCCGGCCATATCGCGAATAAACTGAAAAAGGGGGATTTGAAAGGCTAACGGAGGCTCGAACAACAGCCGTTAGGGAAATGGAAATTCTCGAAAAATCCGCGACCGTTTAAGAGAGAGAAAGCTAGAGAGAGAAACACACACAGAGCTTGAACCGTGGCCATGAGGATGACGACGACGACGTATATATACACACAGAACAAAACCGTTTATGCATAACACGATAAAAAGATCTGCAGGGGCAATATCGGAAACTAAAATACCTTTTTTCACTCTCTTCCGATATTTACTTAGAATTGCTAAAACTAGAAAGTCTAGAGTGATGTTTCTAGGAAATTTACAGATTCCGTCTCTCAATTTTGCAATATTTTATATTTAGTTTTGGCAACAAATATATGCAAGACGAAAATTAATAAGTGCAAGACCTTACTTCATGCAAGACCAAAATATAAATAAACTTACTAAGATCAAGACTGGAAAATTATAAATATAACCCCAGTATTAATTTAGATAAAATTAATTCAAATTAGGCTAATTGCTATTGCGAGACCAAAAAAAAACAAAAAATAAATAAATAAATAAGAATTAAAAAAAAAAGGAAAAAACGAGAGGGAACTCACTCCCCCAACAAAACCCCAACATCTTCTTCTTCACACTCATTTTACACACTTTTTTCCACAAAAAAATCTTCCATATTCTCCAAAACCCTCATCACACAAAACCCTCAAATCTTACTAAAACTTGAAAAGAATGACATTATGGATACACAAGACATAAATATGGAGGATTCTAAGGTCGAAGAACACAAAGAGGTAAGAAATATTGTACTTTGTGATCGTTTTTCTCGTTTTTCGCACCTCATTTCACGTACAAAAAATTCGACGTGTACAGGTCGAAATATGCTCCGAATATCGACACACTAGTGTCGAAAATTTCAACATAAATCGACACTCTTTTACTGTCGATTTTTATTGAATTTTTCGACATTCTGGGGTCGATATTCGGTGCATATTTCGACACTAGTGTGTCGATTTTCGGAGCATCTTTCGACCTGTACACGTCGAATTTTTTGTACAAGAAATAAGGTGCGAAAAACGAGAAAAACGATCAACGGCGACAACTGAAACGGCGACGGGGGATATTTCTAGTGCTTGTCGACTACAACGGCGACGGGGGAGGTGGTGGACTTCAACGGCGACGGCGACGGGGCGACGGCGAAGGGCGGCGGCGAGTGATGCAATTGATTTTTTTTTGTTTTCTTCCCTTCTTCCCTCCTCCTCGTTTTTCAATTCTCGTTTTTTTGCTTTTTCTTTCTTTTTTTATTAATTTTTCTTTTTTAAATTGGTCTTGCAAAAGTAAATTAATAAAATAATTTTTATTTTGTTTGTATTTTATTAAGGTTATTATAGTCTTTTTATACTTAATTTGATAAAAAAAAAATAATTTGGTCTTGCCCTAAGTAAATTTGTGATTGCAAATAGTCGCTGCCTTAGTTTTTTATGTTTATAAAAAATACATTTGGTTCATCTTGTTTTAATAATTTGATATTTTTGGTCATTTTCGTCAGTTTGCTGTTAATCCGTCAGTTGCGGTAGTGATGGGAACACGTTGAGTTCCGTCATTTTTAGTGGAAAATTGCGGAAATGACTAAAAGTGTTGAATTTTTGAAATACGAAGGATCAAATGTGTTTTTGTGAACATGGGGACCCAAATGTGAAATTAGAGCAAACTTGGGAGATGGAAGCTGTGTTTTTTCGAATTTTTGCAAATCAAATGTTGTTATTGCCAGATCATTTTACTTATTAATATTGGGTAAATTACGACCACCCCTGAGGTAACGTCAAATTACGAGAAAAAAAGCCATTCATATTTGGATAATTACAACCACACCCCTCAACTATGAATCTTCTTACACGTCCACCCTTATGGTGTCAAATTCAATATAATATTCTAGATTTCGTGAAACGTTCTCTGATTTGTACTCATTTTTTGTAGAAAATGCAGTATCTGATGCATAACAATCTGATTTTTACATGTCAAGAGGCACATCTAATGAGAGCTCGAATGGGCAAATCGGGTACAAACTAGAAAATCTTCCACATAACTTAGAATATTCCAATAAATTTTTAACACTGCAAGAATGGACGAGTATGAAGATTCACAATTGAGGGATGTGGTTGTAATTTTCCAAACATGAAATTTTTTTTCGTAATTTGGTCGTACATGGATAGCCGTAATTTATCCTAAAATGAATATACGCATAGTGTACAAACCAGCCTCTTACAAAAAAACACCTGAAGAGAGAAGGTGACAAAGTCTTACGTGGAACTGTGTGTGCACGCGGCTAGACGAAACTTAGCGCCGCAGAATTGTTGACGTGTCAAGTGGACCCACAACTCAAACCTACGTGGCAGCAACCCACACCACGCAACCATAACGGATATCATTCAAATTACTGACTATCAAACATAAAGGCGAGATTACTTATAAAGTTATATAATTATAAATAAAATATATTCTATACAAAACATGCATACACATGCTGACATGCACACAATATGGTCGGCTCAAGTATTTGTATTAAAGTGTGTGATATTTGTTTAGAAGGATGACGTGGTATGATTTCACGTCACGTTTCGTAATTTCGCACTCACATTTTCTAAATTTTTGACATCCAATTGAAAGTGGGGGATATATGATAGGCCCATGCCCAAAGGCTCATATCGATAAAAGCCCATACAGACACACAAACCAAACTTAATTCGTTTCAAGATAATAATATAAGTCAAAGTTGACTAAGGCCCAAACTAGCCATGATCTGAACAATTATGCCCAAGTCAGCCCAATTAAGTGGCGTAGGCCCATGAAAATCCATGTCTTCATATAAATACTCGGAAACCTCACAACTAAAGGTGCGACGCAATTCATAACTCCCGAGCAATTTCTTGCATTATCTGAATTCTTCTATCATACAAAGCTGACTTGAGCATCAGAGGGTTTTCGCCGGGACCAATCTTGACGCCCTAACGACTTTTTTTGACAGGTAGTGCACCCGATAAATCAAGAAGTGCGAGGGAAGAATTACAAAACGTGACGTGGAACCGTATCACACCAAAGGAATTGTTTAATATTAACCTTACCAACTTAACTACACAATTCCTAAATGAATTGAAAATATACCTAAAGTATAAATTATTATTGAACGAAATGGGAGCAACTATACGAATATCGTTCCTTTGTCATAAATAGGTAATGATATTAATACTTTTAACGAAAATAAATATTGCACAATCATAAAAAGATATAACTTTTTTTTGTTTAATACTACAGAAATAAAACCCTCACACTCATCTTCTTTTTCTTCTTCTTCACAAACCATCTAAAAAGCTCTTCCAAAGAACTCAAAAACTCAAAAAAAAAAAAACTTACAAAATAGAGTCACAAGACAACAAACAAAGTGGTAGTTTACATGAAAGAAAAATTCATTAAGGTATGTATCCATTGAGCTGAAAGTTGATATTCAAGTTTTTTTATAAATCCGTCACTATTTCTCGACAAGTACATGTCAAATTTTATAGTTTTTAGCAAACGACACCAGTGTGATAGGTCAAAGTGCCAGAAAAGTCCCCGTGTTAATACAAATTAACATTTACCCCCTATAAAACTTAGTCAAACCTGCCCACCTAGCCCATGATCGTGCACTACACGACTCGCTAATTTTATGTCTGGGGTTGCGTCTTCAAGTTTGAAAAGACTTTAGTACACTTTAACCATAAAATTTGAAATTACAGATTCACCCATAAATTTTTAAGACCCAAACTGTAGTCTTTAAAATTTTCAATTCAGTCCCTAGTATTTTAAGAAAGCCCTCTATTCAATTGAAACTCAAAAACACAGTGCAGTAACGCACAAATATACACACTTCAAGTTTACACACACCTTGCATCACCATTGTCGTCGCCGCCACCACCTTCATCTGATCAAATCCATCACCGAGATTCAAAATCCACCAGTGGGTATGTGTGTGGTTGGGGAAGAAGATGAGCTTGCGGGCCCCTTCTCTCTCATTTTCTTTTTCTTCCTCTTTATTTACACAAAACAATTTATATTTTACTTATATTATTTTAATTAGGGTAGTTTAGTCATTTCAGGTAAGTCAACATTATATTCGAATCTAAATCTCTAAGGGGCGGTTGACTAAATAAAACCCAACATAGAGGGCCTGATGCTAATTTTTTAACATAAGGACTTTTTCAGCAATTAGATATTTCACAGGGGTCTATGCAATTAACTCCAATTTTTATGACATTTTTGACTAAAAAGTCTCAAAATTTTCATAAAACTTGATATGTACTCGTTGAAAATTTTATAAAATATTCCATTTTCAATTTTCGACACTTACCCATCAAATTATTGGATTTGAAGTAATCTTCCTTAAATCCCAATAAAAAAATTGCAACTTTAGAGTAAAGATGTTCTATAATTGGCGTTTTGTACCATATAATTAATCATGATTGGTGATTTGCACCTTAATATTTTAAAATTGGTGTTTCACCTCTAAATAATATATCTCATAACAAAGTGAACTGTGCATCTGTTTCTTGTGTGATTTTAACTAAAAATATCAATATTTTTGATATTTTAATTTTTGAAGTGATTTACATCTTAATGAAGAGTACTTGAATATTAGTTTGTTTTCTAATATATTTATCTTCATGTTCCAAAGTTAAAAAGATATTCTTTCAACCATTTTCTCAATAAAATTAAAAAAACTTTAATATAATATTTCTTATGTATATATACATTTTAAAATAAAATTATATTACTATGCAATTTGGTACATATCATCATCTAACTTAAAAAAGGCAAATTTCAGTTTGCATCCCTGAATTATGGAGTATGTATCAAAGACCCCCTGAATTACAAAACGTACAAAATAGCCCCCTGCGTTTTCTAGTAAAATGTTAAAGAATTAGCTTTACTAGTTTTTTCTGGGGGGATTGTCTTTTTACCGTTAATACTGTTACATATATTATTATTATTTATTTTTTTCTTTTTTTTTTGCCCCAGTATGACTTCTTCTTTGCGCATCTCTCTTTCTCCAAAATTGAGTTCTTCAAAAGACAAAACAAGCTCATTGAGTAAATAAAATTATAAAATTTCGGCAATAAATTAATTGTGAGATAAATCTTAATTTTGGACAAAAAATGGACATGATGATGAGTATGTGAGACCAATTTTATTAACTAAATGAAAATATAAATTAAATATTTTCCTATATTAAGAAATTAAGAAAATATAAAATATTATGGGGCAAAATATATTCATCTTTATTCATAAAACAAATTATGCATATCATTAGACATATCGATATAAGAAACGAGGGGTAAAAATGTCAATAAATATTAATTTGAGAAAGTTAACTTGCCACATCAGCACACCACGAACGAACTTGAAATAGAGGGACTATTTTGATACGTTTTGTAATTTAGGGGGTCTTTGATGAATATCCCATAATTTAGGGGTGCAAACGGAACTTTGCCCAAAAAAAAAAATGTTAGGCATATAATCCAATTTCCACGTCATATGTCTTCCCACAAGTGTCCTCTCCACCAGCTTGCTACCTACGTCACAACTGACAATTAGAAACAAAAAGCGCGCTTATCTATTTTCAGCGACTTTACGCCAAACTCCAAAACACGACTTTCCTTTCAAACTGTAAGAATTTTTTATTTTATTTTTTATGTTCGAAACGTCACCGTAACGGAATTTTACAGGCGAAAGAGGAGAGAGAGAGTAAGAAGGAAAAAAATGGGGGAGATTTGAACCAAAATTAAAATTTTCCATATTGAAAATCTCTCCAATCAGATCGGACCTCTCTCCCCAATTTTCTTCGCTTAGAGAGAGAAATATTCACATATATAAATATATATAATTTTGGGTTTCAGATCCTTTTTGATTTTGTTAATTGCAGTTCCTACCATTTAAAAGTATTTATTTTTCCACATTCGTTTTTTTGATTTGTATATATATATATATATACGGAATTTGTATGTATTTTTGGGCAGCGTTAGAGCTGTGATCTGGGTGGGTGTAATTGGGGTTTCTGCGATGGGAATTTAATGAAAGGTGAGGATTTTGGGGCAAGGATTTTTGGATGGCGTCGGCGCAGGTTTTGAGAAAGCAGGAGCATTTGGAAGCTGGGAGGAAGAAGGTACTTTGTTGCTTTCTGTTTTCGATTTCTGCAATTAAAAATTCCAGTGATTTTGTGTAGTTTCCACCGGCAATTGGTTTTGTTTGGGTGTTGGTGATTTTTGTAATTGAGTTTCTTGTGTTTGAAAGGAAGAATCACTTGGAAACATCACATATTGGATGTAAAAATTTAGGTTCTATTTACTGTCGATTATGATTCACAATTTATCCTAGTTGAACAGTTGATCTTTGTGATGCTTTGCTGCTATTCGTTCAATGTGGAACGCCGAAGTTCAGAGAGGAATTTTGTTAGTTAGTTGTCTTATGTTTTTTCCTAAGTTAGCCTCAATTTTCCAGTAATGGAGTAGCCTCTACGTGTTCTATAATTTTGGTTATTAGTATTATTAGTTTTCTAATATATATTCGGTGATTAAACGTTTCAGCTAGAAGAGTTTCGTAGGAAGAAAGCAGAGGAGAAGGCTAAAAAAGCTATCTCAACAAATCAACCACCTGCTTCTGATGTTCCATATGAAACGCAACCATCAGAAACTGTAAATCCACGTATAACAGATTTTAATGAAGTAGGTACTTCTGACACACTTTCTAAAGATCGTTTGGGAGCCTCAGATCTTGCTCCAAAGATTGCAAACAAGGAACATGAAACTTCGACGAAAAGCGATTTCAATTCTTCTACGGATACGAATGCTAAACCTTCTCTTTTGGCAAGAAAGGATGATGGCGATTCATCTGTTCTTGGGCATACGTTCTTAAATAATGAAGAGTACAGGGATGATGCTGCTTCCGTGACTTCAGATGGACATAAGTTCCAGAGCAGAAAAGATGACTATGGATCAGCAGCTCAATTTGATTCTGAGGCCGGAAATAAACACTTTCTCTCTCATGAAAACCGTGCTCCGGGTCACTCTACATACCATGGGTTAGATAATTATTCATCAAATAACATTCATGGCTCTGAGAAGGATATTTCACTTGGTAGTTCTGCTACTTTTTCCTCTGATATTTTGCCCAAGACTTCTATTGGTGCACTCCTGTCAGAAAAGTTGGGTAATAGTAGGCATAAGGATACGAGTAACAGCCTTAACATTCCCTTCAACCCTTTTTAAACCCCCAAGCGCCCATGTAAAATTATGATGTATAACCAGAAACAAACTTTTTTTATTTTTTTTTTATTTTTAAATGTATTATCCCCTCTGCCCCTTTTCTTCTGTCCTTCTAGAAATTTCTAATTATATGTTGTTTGGTTCTTCTGTATACTCTTTGGATCGTTCCTGTTGGGTGATAGAGTCTCTGCGTCCTACCTCAAATATATCTGACTCATTTGGCCTTAAACAAAAATTCTCTTCGTTTTCTGACTCGGGGGAGAAGAAATTTGGTGCTGTTGATCATATGGAGAGTATGAGCAATTCCTCTCCATGGATTTCTGAGAATAGATATGCTGATTACAGTTCTGATACCCGAAGCTCATCAAATTATGCACCACCATCTCCACCTACATCTGGAAGGAGATCCCGTCCATCATTTCTTGATTCCATTCAGGTATCGAAAGGCCCTTCATTGTCCCCTCCCCTCTTTGCCGCAGAAAAAGCCGATACATCAAGCTCCAAGGTTCACCCAGTGGATGGTTTGGGATCATCAGTTTCTCACAGATCTGATAACATTACAATTGCATCTGGTAATGGGGTTGGTCTATTCAATCATGTAATGGAGAATAAACAGGACTTTTTTTCACAGAAGCAGAACGAAGACTTTGCTGCTTTGGAACAGGTTTCTCTTCTATAATTTTCTGATTCAACAGTTTTTATGAATTTTTTGTTAGTATTTTGATTCTAAGTGATTGAGTTGTTGTCTTATCATATATGCATTTTCATTTGAAGTAGTTCAGTAGATTTTCGCTTTTCTGAAGTACAATAATGTATTTCGCGATACAGACTTTTAAAATAATCTATTTGTACCTTATATAGTTTTTGGTCAATATCGTTATATCTTTTATCTTCCAAATCTATTTACTATAACTGCTTAGACGTATTTATTTTTCGGATGGTTGGGGGTGGAGGACGGAGGACATGGAAATGTAAGGTTATAATGCTTTAGATTGTTTAGATTCGAAGAATCCTTAGGACTGTTAATTGTTATTCAGTTTTTTTATTGAATTAGCAATAATATACATTATTTGCAAAGGAAGTGCATTGAGTTATAATTGCTGCCTTCTCTTGTCCAGCACATTGGTTGGGTTGAACTATTTTTGAATTTGAGAATATGCCTAGTTGGTGGTTTGTAATTACTTTATTTATTGTGTATATTTGAATATTAAATTTCGAAAATTTTGGAAATTGCATGATCTGCAGTAAGATTTGCAATTCATTGAATCATGGCAGATGATATTACACAAAGAACTTCTGTTGAACCTAAGTTTGAAACTAGTGATGGACCTTCTTTCAAACTTTTAAGGGTATATTGAACTTGCATACTGTTGGTTGCTGTCACAAAATTGGCTAGATGTATTTGGTTTATGCACATGATGCCAAATTAGTACGCCATTACATGAGGTGATTGTATAACTTGTGAATTGAATGATCAGTACGGCTAATTCAAAACATACCGGTTTGTCTTAATTGTTTGCAGTGAAATGTATTTATTTATCCAAATTATTTCAGAGAGTCTGCATTCATTTTAGTGATGCCTTTTTGAGTTATTTGTGTGTGTGATTTATACCTCTGCAGAAGTACAGTTTTTCATTGAAGCACCTCCCCTACTTGTAGCATGAAATTAATTTGGAACGCCTTTTTACTAGAAAATTTGTTACATCCTAAAGCCTGTCACTGACTATATGAAAGATAGCATTCACCCTCATCTTAGGTGAAGGGGGATATAGTACCAGATCTATTGCAATATGCTCGCCACTTTTATGTTGGATAGTACTTTTGCTCAATATTACTATGTAATTCTTTTTTCAGCAAGTCCTTTTTTTTTTTTGGCAAATAGTAAAACAAATACATGCATTGTAAAAGTTAGTTTGTATTTACTTTTAAAAGAATCTTGCGTTCTTGTACCTCTGTATGTTGTACTATGTCGTGCATTATTTGATTATTTCAATATGTTGGACATGACGGCTTTCTGGCTACACATGTTGATTGTGAATATAGCTTTAGTTTGAGCTGTATGGATCAAAATTTTATATACCATTAAATCAGCTATTTGATAGATTTCAGTATGGATAACTTGTTGTGGCATCTTAATGAGAGGGAAAAAGCTCCTAAATGCATTGTTTATTGGAAACATATATACTTTTTAGGTGTTAAACATATTATTTTTTCTTTTCCTTGCAGCATATTGAAGATTTAACACAAGAGAAATTCTCGTTGCAACGTGCTCTTGAAGCTTCACGAGCTTTGTCTGAGTCTTTAGCTTCTGAAAATTCAGCTTTAACAGATAGCTTTAATCAACAGGTTTGAACTTACCATACTAGGTTCTACCAGTTTTAGTGGCTACATTGTTTGCATTTTGCTATCATAACTGGTGTTACACGATCGTGTATGAATATAATCATTTACTATATCTGCTCTTTAGTTTGATAAAAACAAGCTATTGCTTTAATCTGGCTCATTCTAATTTTATCGGTCCTATATTTGTTATTGGCTGGATTCCTATGTGTTGCCAAGTGTGCAATGACTGAAGTTCTCAGAGTGTATTATGCTTGGCATCAAGTTGAAGCAGTTGAAATTTTTCTTCTGATTTGTTACCATAACTATGTCAAGTGTGAACTAAGATGTATATCTGGTGGATACAAAAAAAAGGATAAATATCTTGTAGAATTATGGTTGGCCATTTGTAGATGCTCTTAATTTCTCTTGAAACCAAATGAGATGAACATGGTATGCCAAGAGTAAATGTTTTCCCAAATTAGTGATTATATTTGTTGCTTGGTGGATATTGTTATTGATATTAATTGCAGTATTGTTAATAATCACAAGAATTATTATGTGTCTTAGATGCGGGATTTAGTATCCAATGTTGTTGTTTGAGGTTGTCTGTCGAATTTAAATCGGTTGAAAGTAAGCTTGGATTGCAGTTTGGATGACAAATATTGCTCTGATTTTGAGGCCTATTAAACACAGTGCTGAGATAGTCAGCACATACTTATATTTTCTTTTGCTTTCTTGTCCTTATCAATTTCTGGTATTATGTACCCCATTGTTCTTTTCTGTCATGTGACAATGGTATGTATTGACACTTTTGTTTCATTTTTTGTTTAGGGAAGTGTTGTCAACCAGCTGAAGTTTGAATTGGAAAATTTACAGGATGAAATCAAAGCTCAACTGGTTAGTATTGATGAATTAGGTTGTATTGGCATCATGATAATTGTCCTTAGTATACCTTTTCTTTCTCTCTTTTATGTCTTTTCACTGTGTTGTGTCTGTGTTATAAACCTGCATAATTGAAATGGGTTTCATGATGATTTCGTCGTTGGCCTTCAAAATGCTGGATTGTGTCTTGACTTCTGCCTCATATTATAGTACTTCGCTGCTCATTGATATCTTTTGTATTCTAGTATCTTAGGGTGCATTTGATGAAGAGGATGTGAATCATTTGACAAGGAATTTCAAATCCATAGCTCTCATTTTTAGTTGTTTTTTGAGTAATTGTAGTGGATTTCAAATACCTTCCCATTTGGACTCATTTAAAATCCTTCCCATTTGGATTCATTTCAAATCTTTCAATCCAAAAGCACCCTTAGCGTTATTCAGTGGGCTGCATTTGGGATAGTTTCTTTCTCAAAGTTCATGAGCTTCTAATTTCATATAGCATTACCTGGGATCTCTTACATACAACGATGTCTCACTTGTATATGTATCCCTAACCTTCAGGTTGAACTTGAAGCTGTAAAAATAGAGTATGGCAATGCCCAGCTAGAATGTAATGCAGCTGATGAGCGAGCAAAGCTATTGGCCTCTGAAGTTATTGGGCTGGAAGAGAAGGTAAACATCATCCAATTTATTTATCTTCTTTGGATTATGAATGTCAATGAATTATAAATAAGAAGAATGCATGCACGGCAAGTTCGTTTGGGTAACTGCATTCTAATCACTTTGTCTAGTATTCCAGTTTGTGTTTCGTCTTGTATTCCACGTTATAGATTCACTCCAGTTGTACATGATCCATAACTTAAGTGTATATTTAAGTAAATATTATGTACATATATCCTACATATCTGATTTTATTAATGTGGTAGATGATTATACACTGAATTGATTGGGATCTGAATAGCATTTTGATGAAATTTCAGGGAAAAGACCAAATAATATATTTCTGTGGTAGAAGTCATTTAGTGTGGTTTTTTTAGTGTATGTGAGAGGGGCAGGTGGTTTTGGCTGTGAATCTACACTTGTCAGTTGTGATTTGTTGCTGTGTATCTACTTTCTTATTATCTTGCTGAGGATTACACCAGTCTTTGCAAATAATAGAGCTGCTGAGCTCTGCATTTTAGTATTCCTTTTATTTTTCCAATAAAAAATCTCTTGATATGCATTTTGAATATTGAGATAAAGTCATTGTGTGACCAACTAAAGGAATGTTCGCTGCTATATGAACCTGGAGAATATATTTGAGGGGTACTAATGTGAACTCTCTGAGTAGTGAACCACTATCCTTTTGACTGTTTAAACACTTGTATTTGGTGCGTATAAATTTTTGAACGGTATCATTTCTGCTTAAAGCTTTCTATTGATTGTCCATGAATTGGGTGGTGAATTGCTGATGGATGGCGATAGTAAATGTTGCGAGACCTATGAGTTTAGCTGCCTAATAGCTCTCTCTCTCTCCCACAAAAATACCTAACTGCATTATGGACTAGCGATCAGCTTTTCTTCTACTCCTACTTTGTTTCTATCTCTTACTTCTTTTAATAATTCTCTTGGACTTGTGTATATTATTCGTGTTTGTGAATTCGTGCAGGCATTGCGTTTGAGGTCTAATGAGCTAAAATTGGAGAGGCAGTTGGAGAACACTAGAGCTGAAATTTCTTCTTACAAGTATTGACGATTCTATTCATTTCTAACATCTTTATTCTTACTTGCGTTCTCTGTAACTTATCTTTTCCTTTTGGCCTTTTTTTTCCATGACATTATAGATATGCATGAAATGCCAGTTTAAACACTTTCTTTAAGTTTGATTTTCTGTATGATATACTTTTTTTTTACATTGTTAATTGGATTCACAGGAAAAAAATGTCAAGCATTGAGAAAGATCGTCAAGATCTGCAGTCAACAATTGATGCCTTACAAGAAGGTAACTTTACTGTTCGGCATTGAGTTTGCTTTATTCATAAAAAATCGTACATGATCTTGAAATGAAAAGAAAGAAACGATGAAGCTGGTAATTTCCTAAGTTGTAATCTTCCTTGTTTGAGTTAAAAATATTTTGTATAAGGACTTCACAAATTTTCTTGTGGATGTCGATAGTGTTCTTGATGTACTTTATGGTACAGTATTGTTATGCTTTTCATGGAGGAAAAGTTATGAAGTTTAAGATATAATATCTACGACCTGATGACTATTTTGGTGAGATGATCTTGTTGTAATGGATTAGCTTCTCTAATGACAATTACGTTCAATGCATTATCACATAGGCTTATATTTTCGAGCTGGTTTCAAATAATGCGCCTTTAAAAATAGTTCCTTTTAATCTTTTCTTCTTCTGATAGTATGCTGATACAAGACTCTCCAACCTTTTGAGAACTCAATCAAAGTCAAGTCAAATTGGTTCGATTGAAAGTTTGTGAAACTAGTGTGGAACCTCACAGGTTTTCAGAAGTTGTTCTTAATACCCGTTTTAGTCACCTCGGATTGATAGAAGAAGGATTGGAAATTGCAATCTTTTGCTTTCGTGAATTGATCTTTTAATTTCCTGAATAAATAATAATGGATAACTTTCTTCCCCTTGTCCAGAGAAGAAGCTGTTGCTGTCCAAATTGCGGAAAGCTTCTTCAAGTGGAAAATCCACCGACTTTAACAAGACCACTAAAGACATTTCTACTTCAACAGACGATATTGGTACGTGATACAACACTTTCGTCTTTCAGTTTTCCTCTGTGATGAAATAATTTTACTCATCGTATATGAAAGTCCCGTTGGGTAAAAAAACACCATTATGTAATGAAACTTGTTGTCATCTTATTCCCGCCAAAGGGTAGGAATAAATTCCGTACTATTATCACGAGATAAAATAATATTTCTGAATGTGTAAATATTATTTTATTTTTGCTATGTAAAGCCACATGTGGGGAGCTTTTTTCTTAGTTGCTTCTTGAGCAGCCGCTGCTTGTAGACGATTTTCAAATGATATCATGTTATTCTAAACGAAAGGAGGTGGGATAAAATTTGAAGGAAACTGTGGAAAGATAACTCTTTTCGTAAAACATGTTGTTGCTTGATTATATACCTGTTTCTTGTCCTCTATTACACTGTGATTCTGTTTTTTTTTTATAATATGGCGAATTAAACAATCATACAGATACCGATACAACCACAGAAACCTCTGCCTTGCTTGAAGATGATGCCCCTAGTTCCCAAATTTCACATGAAAATATAAATCTCAGTCTCGAGGGTCTACCTATGGAGAATATTCCTTCCGACCAGATGAGAATGATTCAAAACATTAACACATTAATTGCCGAGGTAAGTTCTTCCTTCGTCAAAATAAATGGTTTTATATTTTTCAAAAAACAAAATAAATATCAAGTATTTTGACTGCAGTTGGCATTGGAGAAAGATCAGTTGGTGCAGGACTTGTCAGCAGAATCGTCACAAAGCTCCAAGCTTTTGGTAATTTCCATATAGTATTGTTTGTATTTTGGAGTGTCCTTGTAGTTTCGGACTAAAAGACTCGAGCTTAGCACTGGTTTTATTTTTGTTTTATTATTCTTTTGATTATTATTTTTAAGTTACTAAGTATCTATGTCCTTTTGTTTTCTCGTTTATAGGAACTGAACAAGGAATTGACCCGAAAGCTAGAAGCTCAAACACAGAGATTGGAGCTTTTGATGGCTCAAAGTATGGCAAATGCTAATACACAACCAAGACTAGTGGATCCTCGAACTGTGCCTGAAAACACAGCATATGCGGATGAAGGAGACGAGGTAATTTATCGATTGCAGTATTTTAGACTATATATTATATGTATATTACATCCTTGAAACATGCAACCTTGTCTATACTAAGACACGTATTTTGCTGAGATTGTCTGTTTTATCGCTGTTTGCCCGTAATATTTTGTACCTTTCCAATTATTTATCTAAAACTGAAAAAAGTGTTGATATTTTGCTAATGACTTGTTTGTTATGCTCAAATCGATGAGATTGTTAATAATAACTAAAATTTTACTTTTCGGTGTATTAATCAAGATATGATTCGATTATCATCTTTTTCCCCGTTTTTTTTTTTCCGTTCGATCAGGTTGTTGAAAGGGTGTTGGGCTGGATCATGAAGCTCTTCCCTGGCGGTCCATCAAGGCGGCGGCCCGGCAAGCATCTTTGATTGTACTGTATACATTTTCTTAACAAAAAAGAAAAAAAAAAACAATTCTGCAGATTTTTTTTCTTTCGTCTTTTTTCGGTGGATGGAGGCTGCAGTTTGTATACTATGAGTGATCCTACGTCCATATTCTTTTTCCCCGAATAGTAAAAGACTGTTCCTTTCTCAGAGAGGCAGATCATTGAAGATGTGAGAATATCGTTCCTCTGCAAATTTTGCTATCGACATTTCCAATTTTCTTCTTTTTTTTTTTGTTCAGGTTATTTGATGTTCTTTTCGACGCATCATGTCTTTTAAATTAGAAAGGAGAAAGAAATTACTGTAATTAAAGTGAACTTTGTCTAAAAGGGAGATGTGCAATGTTTGACATGTTAGAAATTAAGGTAACTTGTGTTAGTGTCAGACTGTCAAGTGAGATGATCTCTGTATTCTCTATTTTTCTTTTAACTTTTTTTTTTTTTTTTTGGGATTTTTTGTCTGATTTTACTTGTAAGCTTGAAGATGTTGGAAATCGTACATGAAGATGGGAAAAGACCCAACTTTTCCCTTTTATTTTTCATGGTGTTATTAGAAGACTGTATTCTCTAATTAAAAGTTTATTTCCAGTATAAAATAACCAGTCTATATTTTTAAAAAACTTACATATTAAGATTAATGATTGTCAAATTATTACATCAAGACTGAGCAATTAGTCTCAGAAAAGTATATGGGCGAAACAATAATTTCCCCTCTAAATATTAGCATTAAAAGCAATTTTAGTTTTAATAGTTGTGTTTCATCTTTTAACGTGATTTTGACAATTTTCTTGTTTGAATTTGATAAAACTCAAAATACGAAATGGGCAAATACACAGCCACCCTGAAGTAAGCTCAAATTATAATTTTTTTAGACCTATCAATTATGTATTGTCTTACGAAAAACCCCCTCATTCAGTAGGTAAATTTGACATCGTAAGGACGAATGTGTAAGACAATACATAGTTGATGGGTGGTTGTAATAATCCAAACATGAGGGGTTCTTTTGTAAGCATATAGCTCAGGGGTGACCATAATTTGTCCGTATAAAATTAGTAGTTCTTTGAGCCAGCTTTCTAATCGGACTCGAATCACCAAAATTAGTCGTTGAATGAGAAATATACACTGGTCATAACATTGATGTTTTGTGTTATCTAAAATTCAACATATAACCCATTCATACATAACTACACCCGACATTCCAATCTAGATAATTCGAATTAAGTTAGAAAATTAACTCAAAAGTACTACAGTTTTCGTGTCCTGAATGTTTCCAAAAACCACACTATAAAAAGGGTCAAAACCACGTCCCGAAGTGGAAAAACAATATCAGTAAAACTGAAACGGCATTTGACATTTTGCAATTGGAAAAAATTGGAAATATCCAATCCCTGAAACGACGTCGTCGTACAGGATATATGGGTGATGGTTGAATTAGCAAATCTTTGTGTGGCGCACAAACAACGAACCAATTCCCACTCAATTTTATTTTTTTTACAGTTTTCCCCTTTGTTTTCCGATGGCTATGGCCACCGGAATACTCTCCTCTAATCTCCTCTCTCTCTCCTCCATCGTTTCTTCATCTTCTACAGGTAATCTCTTCTCTCTCTCTCTCTCTCTCTCTCTCTCTCTCAATTTTTCTTTTTTTAATTTAAAGATTAATTTATGTGGAAATTAATATGAAGAAGGTAAAAATTCATCAAAGCCGGTGAAATTGAGAGATGACTGGAGGCAAAAATCAAAGCCTATCCCACCTGGGGGTACCTACCCCGCCAAGGATCACTGCAGGTACTTTTCTTCTTCTTCTATTTTTTGTTTTTTACTAACCTTTTCTTTTTTTTTAGTAACTACTTTTTTTATCGGAGTTGTGTTAAGGTGGTGTTTGCAAAAGCTTATTTAAAAACAAAAGTTATGGATTGTGAGTTAAGTTGGTTTTAAGTGCTTATTTCTAAAAGTTGAGGATCGTCTGCAAATTTACTGGAAAATGAACTTGAATAGAAAAAACCGGGTCATGGCTACTTAGGTGGTGTATGCAAATGCTTTTAGAAATAGATTATGAGCTCTTTTCTGCACATAATCTGTTTTTAGGTGTTTGCAAAACAAGCTTTTACTTTTGCTTCTCTTAAAATACAATACGCTGCTTTAAGCTATAATTTTAAAAGCACCCGTGTACTTGCCTTTGCTATTTTTGTTGATTTTTCAGCTAATTTGCAAACACCCCCCAACTTATAGATTTAAACACTTAATTCCAACTTAACTCACAATCACTAACTTCTGCTTTTAAATAAGCTTTTGCAAACATCACCTTAAACAATTATAAATTAAAGTTGTTTATTTTAAGAGAAGCAAAAGCAGAAGTTCAATTTACAAACACTTAAAAATGTTTTATAAGCAAAAAAAAGCTCATAATCTATTTTTGAAGGCTTTTTCAAACACCACCTAAGTCTGGTTTCACAATTTCGTTTTCTGATTTTTGAGAATTTAATTTTTTTTGAGGTTTAATTAGTTGCATTTGAATGAATCATGAATGGTGGGTGTCCCCCATTTATTGATCTAGTTTGGATTTGATACAATAGTAGCTATCACGAATGTGTTCTAGAGGGTTTGTGAAAATTTAGGTTGTTGTCATGATAATGTGTTCTTATTCGGTTTTTTTCTTTTCTTTTTTTGAGCAGCCGATGCGGTTTGTGTGATACATACTACATTGCCCATGTAAAGAGTGCTTGTGCTTTCTTGGGAGATGGGATGTCTAAAATTGAAGTGGGCTTTGTTTCTTTATTTTGTTTTCATTCTCGATAAATTAATAGCCTCGGTTAAATAATAATTCCTCATGGTCCCAACTCGATAAATAACATACTAAATTATTAGTTCGATAGTTCAATATTTCGCTAAATTGATTTAGGAGCTCGAACCAATTGTACATGGCCGAGGCAGGAAAATTGATTCATTGGACGAGACATATTTGGGAGTTTACGAGGATTTACTTTATGCTCGTAAAACCAATCCTGTAGAGGGTAAGTCCCCAAACTCGATTTTTGGGTTACTTTTAATATTTTTCGTTCCTTATGGACCTAATTTAACGTCATCCATTTATTTTACGTAGTTGCTTTACATAAGTTAGTATGTGCCATGTGGTGTTACATGTAAGTTTACCGTAGTTCTTTACTTGCCTACAAGAGGTCATCTTATTTAGGCCTTTAAATACTAATTATACTAATTTAGTTAGCATTGAAATCAACGGAAACACACTTAAGTTTATTTTTTAAAATGTCAAATTAAATACATAAATGTTTTTTTTTCACGTCGGCTGAAAAGATCATAATTTCGAGCTTTCTTTTATTGCATAAATTTAATAGGGGCTCAGTGGACGGGTATAGTGACCACAATCGCAATGGAAATGCTTAGGACTGGTATGGTCGAAGCTGTTATTTGCGTGCAGAGGTCTCTCTCTCTCTCTCTCTCTCTCTCTCTCTCTCTCTCTCTCTCTCTCTCTCTCTCTATATATATATATATATATATATATATATATATATATATATATATATATATATATATTTTAAATTATTGAAATCATCGTTGAATTAATATCCCAGTGATCCAGAAGATAGATTTACTCCCAGACCAATCTTGGCTAGGTTCGTTCCATTTATTTTCCCGATTAATTTTAAATATGTTTACTCTTCAACCTCTATCTTGAATTATAATCGAATAATTCTATTTAAATTAGGACCCCGGAGGAAGTTCTTGCTGCTAGAGGAGTTAAACCGACACTATCTCCTAATCTAAACACACTGGAATTAGTCGAGGTTTGTTTCCTTTTTCTATTTTTAGTTTATTTATTATTTATTTTTATCCGCCAATTTACGAGTGCACTTTCACATTTTAACGAACATTTATATAAATAGAAATCAGCATTATTAAATTTTATTATTTATTTCCTCAGGCTGCTGGTGTGAAGCGTCTTCTTTTCTGCGGTGTTGGCTGCCAAGTGCAAGGTATTATCATCGTCATCGTCGAAATAACATGCACGTACTTTATTTTATTTAATTTGCTTAATTGTGACTTTTTTAATATTATAATGCAGAATAATTTCTTGAAAGTGCAGCCCTACGATCGGTGGAGCATCATCTGAATCTGGAAAAGCTTTATGTTCTCGGAACTAATTGCGGTAACTATACGTTTTTTTAAATGGAAGGGATATAATTGGAATTAAATTAATACAATCGCAATATTTAATATGACGGTCAACTTCTTTTCTCGACAGTGGATAACGGAACACGAGAAGGTTTAGATAAGTTTCTGAAGGCTGCTAGTACTGAACCAGAAACCGTTCTTCATTACGAGTTCATGCAAGATTACAAGGTTTGCCCCCCTATGATTTATCTTTTATCCCCATGCATTTATATAATAATAATAAAAAAAAAAAGAAAAGATATATTGTATTTCGAGAATGTTTGTCAATCTTTAGTACACAACAGTATTTCTTAAAATTATTTCCGTACACACACACACACACACATATATATATATATATATATATATATATATATATATATATATATATATATATATATATATATATATATATATATATATATATATATATATATATATATATATATATATATATATATATATATATATATATATATATATAACTCTCTATATATATGTGGATATATATAACAGAGATATTCTGTTTTTCTCTCATAGAAAACAATATATATCTCTCGCTCTCTCTCTCTCTCTATATGTGTATATATATATATATATAACACACATATATATATATATGTGTTTTGACTCTCTCTCACACACAAACAAAAAGAGAGAATATGTGTGTGAGAGAGAGAGAGATATATCTCTATATAT